TCAGTAAGCATGAGACTCGAATACGGCACAGAAGCTCATGTATTTCTTTCCAGCGCTCCACGTTTATTATTAGCGTATATTACCCTTCCTGTCATAGGTGAGGCGGAAGTGGTGCAGTGGCAAGCAGCGTTGCTTTCCATGCGAACGGTTCGTGGATCAAATCCTGGATCAAACGCCGTCTACGCCAGCGAAGTCCTCCATCCCCCCGGGGTCGATTGATTGATACTAGGCCTCTCTGGAAAGTCTGTTGACTAGCCACACATGCCACTGTACAGGTCAAATTGCGTTCAAAATGCCACTACGATTCTGCATCAAAATGGAATGCGTGGCGCATCCAAGGAAGGGTCCATGAATGAGGTCTCGCTTCCATTTACATGAATAACAACACAATTAGACAAAATATGTAAAACCATGAGGTCAATGGGACTCACGTTTTAAAATTCGCTTTGCGGCTTTAATTCGTTGCTTCGGGCTATTGTTCAAATGATCTGAATAGAGATAATAGAGAAAAAAAACGATGTGATTGAGAAAGTGAAAGGCGTTTCCGCACATGAGAAACTCTAGAACCACAGCGAATCCTCACTTACTGCTGGACGCCATTTGATCGGAATTGTTGTGGATCGGCACGATCTCACTCATCAACCACACGAACAGGCAGAACTTCGATGTTCCCACTGCAACACAGTTATCACAAATGGTTTCCAAACAATTTTGAAAGCTTTGACCTCCAAACAAAATCAATCATTCGTTGGTAATTCAAAAACAAAGAAGATCGATTTGGTTTTTTCGATGGAGGCAGCGCCGTATTTTTGGCTTTTACTAACATGTGATTGTAAGAAGAGCAATGATCTTGTTTGTTAACCCCTCCACGTATGTTGAACCATCTTATCGAGACCATACTCATAGGGAAAGCGTCAAACTTCCAAAATTTTCCGGTGGCGGAAAAAAGCGTCATGGTAAGGGATACCTCTTACCACGCCCTGATGGAGATCAAATTCCGGGTCTGATTCAACCCAACAAAACCAGGCTTTTATCCTCATAGGTATAAAAGCTACGACTTGCACATCGGCTTGGTCCCGGCAGATCACTGTACAGGTCGGCGGGCATTCTTTGCTGCGTCTCCGGTTTAGAGTAAGAGTGCCTGGCGCACCCAAAAGGACAGATCAGATAGTTCTCTCTTAATGTGGAAAGTACATGAGGGTGATTGTAAGTTACCGCTCAAAATCAAGCCATCCAAATAGTACTCTAAAAGTAAGAGAATAGAGAAATAATAGTCATACGGGGTAATGCGAGCGCAGTCAGCAACCCTGCAGAACAGTCATCTGGACACCTCTGCTAATAGGACAAATATCTCTGTGGGGCCCTTGTTCGCTTGCTCATTTGGGCCACTTCTATTTTTCGTGTACATTACAATTCACATGTCTAAAGAACCTAATGGGCGGAAGTGGTGTAGTGGCAAGTGGCACGCTTACCACGCGAGCGGTCCGGGGATCAAATCCTGGGTCGTGAGTCGCCCGGGCCAACCAAGCCTTCCATCCCTCCGGGGTACCAGACTTGTCTGGGAGGATAAAAACACTGACTTGTACATCGGCTGGCCCCCGCAAGTCATTGTATAGGCCACATCGCAATTC